CCCTGATGTAACACCTGACATGGAGCAGGAAATCATGAATGCACTCGGTCCAGGGCCACAAGAGGACATCTTAAGCAGTGCATTTAAACTGAACATCACCAGAGGAGACATGCAGACTCTACGGGAAAGCCAGTGGCTCAATGATGACATCATAAATTTTTACATGAACCTACTCTCACACAGGAGCAAATCACCAGGCTATGCCTCACTTCACACCTTTAATACATTCTTCTATACGAAACTCAAGTGTGGGGGATACAGGTCTGTGAAAAAGTGGACCCGGGCCGTGAATATCTTTGAAAAGGACATTGTCCTCGTGCCGGTACATCTACATGTCCACTGGAGTCTTGTGGTCATAGACCAACGAAAGAAGACCGTTGTCTACTGGGATTCCATGGGACTCAAAAGAACAGATGTCCTGGGATTGATTTTCCAGTACCTGCAAGAAGAAAGCAAAGCAAAAAGGAATATAGATCTGGACCCCTCGGAGTGGAAGCAATACTGCATGTCAGCAGAGGAGATTCCCCTGCAGTTGAATATGAACGATTGTGGAGTGTTTACCTGTAAATATGCAGACTATATTTCGAGAGGCCAACCCATAAACTTTTCTCAGCAGCATGTGCCTCTGTTTAGGAAGAAGATGGTGTGGGAAATCCTGCATAAGCGCTTACTGTAACAGCAGCACCCGCTGGCTGCTGAGGCTGCTCTGCACTCTTTTGTAGATGCTGCCAGGGGCTTCAGGCATGGTGGCTTGAAGAGCCTTGAAACAGTTTCTGGACTGTAAAAAATGGGTGATTCCCCAACACTCTTCCATGTACTGCTAACTTGGAGCAAAGAAGAGCTGCATCTGGGGCAATCTATACATGTATATGCTTACTACATGCTAGAAACACACAACCCACACAATCTAACATGCTGATAAGCATGCTACTTTCAAGATTTTGTGACTGATGTTAATGTTGAATTCTTTTTTCAATTTTTCAATTTTTTTCAATTTTCATGGTTTTGTTCATAAGTTTTTGTTGTTTTTATTAATTTCCTTGATATTTAATGTTTGATTATTAAATTTTGTTTAACCTGTTTATTTTTGTAAGGAATGCCAATACAAGTGCCAGTCTCTACTGCCTATCAGGCTAGTTGTCCTAATGTGGGGCAGTATAGGTCTTTCCCATTATTTTTGGTCTCTGTCCATGTGACCCTGGACTTGGTCCAGCTAGGAACATTTCTGAAAGTGATACAGATGTTCCAAATCACTTCATGGTCCCAAGTAAGGAGATCTGTTTACTCTTTGGATTCTAAGGAAGGTCTTATAATGCTAAATATTTATTTATATCTCAGGTCTCCTTCAATATTAGCCTCAGCATTGCGAGTGCTTTAATGAAGCATTTCTTCCAAGAGATATTCAATTTAAAGTTATATTTCTTTAAATATATTTTCTCTGTATACACTAAGATAAAACTAAATATTTTCATCATTAACATTTATAATTCTGCAACTTATGGATTTAATGGTAGCTATAATTTATGATACAAATTAAACAATACTCTATTTTACATAAGAAAGTTTAAATTTAATTTTTCTGTTAATTGTACATTGTGTATCAGTGTTTATGAAGTTTTACTTAATAAAGTTTAGTGTTGTTTGAACATACTTTACAAGGTCTTGTCCCTGATGTTGCTCACATGGAGTCATAAGATTTTCTGAGAGACCTGGAAAGCAGATACCCAGGGCACATTTTGTCAGTGTTGCTTGTAACTGTTCCTATATCTCCATGTCAGTGACTGTTCTTTGGTTTTGAACCTTTGATGTGAAGACTTTAGTGAGGAACCTTCCTCTATCCTGGATCATGGGGGAAACTCCATATTGCATAACATGTCAGCACCCTGTAGTAAAGTCTCACCAATGAATAATGTAAGTAATGTGAGTAATGTGAGTAAGAACACAGGTCTCTGTATTCCACAAGCATGGGGAAGCAAGTCATGCAGATGCTTCCCCTACCTCCACCCATAGAGAAAATGCTCACAACTGGCAATGAACCCAACAGCTTAAGGGATGACAGAAAACACTACATCCTTTGCACAACAGGGCCTTTAGACTTGTTGAAGCCTATCTTGTTGCTCTCTCCCTTCTTTGACTTGGACTTTTCCTGCATAAGTTTCCCTGTTTCAAATGCTCTCCCATCGAGTCCCAACTAGGGAACTCAGACGAGAACTGCCATACCCTCAGCCTAGGGGCATTGACAGCAGTGGAAGATCCCTGCTGGGGCGCGAGCAGAGCAGATAGTAGATAGCAGCAGTCAGTGCCTGAGCACTGAGCAGTCTCAAGAGTGGTGCACAGAGCTGGTGCAGTTCCCACATGCTCCCTGTGGTGCTAGAGGAAGCAGCTAGGAGACATTCCCTCCACTTCCTTGCCTAGGTTGCTGCTAGCCTCACAATGGCGATGAATAAAGCCACAAGTGTGAAATCTAGTAGCTAGGAAAGTTGCCTGGGTGACTCTGAATCATTTCCATCATAGGTGATATTTTTGTCACCCTCAAACTAGGATCCCAACACTCTCGGGGCATTGTTCTTTATTCAGACATCACATTTCCCTGGTAACAATGGCGTTTACCTCAGAATTCCTGAGATAGTATTTTGATCTGACAAAATACTTCAAAATCCTAGATTTTCTCTCTGTGGCTGCCTGCAAGGGTTTTTAGAACAAGACTACCTGGGACTGTCCTCTCATCTGGTATAAAATGTAATTTCATGTATGAGGCCATAACTGCATTTAGTTTCATGATTCCAGTTGGATAGGCCTTTTGTTTGTCTCTTGCATGTGGTTTTAGTCATCTAGGGAGAATGTAGATTTTCCGGTATATGCCTAAGAGTGGAATTGCTGGATCTTGTGGTAGACTGATTCCCATTTTTTGAGGAGTCGCCATACTGATTTCCAAAGTGGCTGTACAAGTTGGCACTCCCACCAGCAGTGGAGGAGTGTTCCCCTTTCTCCACATCCTCTCCAGCATAAGCTATCATTGGTGTTTTTGATTTTGGCCATTCTGACAGGAGTAAGATGGTATCTCAGAGTTGTTTTGATTTGCATTTCCCTGATGGCTAAGGATGTTGAACACTTTCTTATGTGTCTTTCAGCCATTTTAGATTCCTCTATTGAGAATTATATATTTAGTTTTGTACCCCACTTTTTAATTGGATTGTTTGGTGTTTTGGAGACTAGCTTCTTGAGTTATTTGTATATTTGGGGGATCAGCCCTCAGACAGATGTGGGGTTGGTGAATATCTTTTTCCAGTCTGTGGGCTGTCGTTTGGTCTTGCTGACTGTTTGGTCCTTTGCCTTACAGAAGCTTCTCAGTTTCAGGAGGTCCCATTTATCAATTGTTGACCTCAGTGTCTGTGCTACTGGTGTAATGGTCAGGAATCAGTCTCCTGTACCAATTAATTCAAGGGTATTTCCCACTTTGTCTTCTAATAGGTTCAGTGTAGCTGGATTTATGTTGAAATCTTTGATCCATTTTGACTTAAGTTTTGTGCAAGACGATAGGCTTGGGTCTATCTGTAGTCTTCTACATTCTGCAACCAGTTATGCCAGCACCATTTGTTGAAGATGTTCTCCTTGTTCCATCGCATAAATTTGGATTGTTTATCAAAAATCAAGTGTTCATAGGTGTGTGGGTTAATATCAGGGTTTTCAACTCTATTCCATTGGTCTACCTGTCTATTTTTGTGCCAATACCAAGCTGTTTTCAGGACTATAGCTCTGTAATAGAGCTTGAAGTCAGGGATGGTGATGCCTCCAGAAGTTCCTTTTGAGGGGATTACATTGAATCTGAAGATTGCTTTTGGCAAGAAGCACATTCATACAACAAGGACATCTGTTCAATGACGTTCATAGCAGCATTATTTGTAATAGCCAGAACCTGGAAGCAACCTAGATGCCCCTGAACTGAAGAATGGAATAGAGAAAATGTGGTACATTTACACAATGGAGTACTACTCAGCGGGGGAAAAAGGCAATAGAATCTTGAAATTCACAGGCAAATGGATAGAACTAGAAGAAACCATTCTGAGAGAGGTAACCCAGTCACAAAAAGACAGGCATTCGATGTACTCACTCATATGTGGATTTTAGACATAGAGTAAAGGATTGTCAGCCTGTAGCCCAGGCTTCCAGAGAGGCGGGGGAAAAAGGGGATACATGGTCCCCTGGAGAAGGGGAGAGGGTCAAGATCTGCTGAACAAATTGGGAGCATGGGAAGAGGGGGGAGGGTGCTAGGAGAAAGAGAAGGGGAGAAGAAGATGGATGCAGAGGACATGAGGGAGCAGAAAGGTTGAGTCAGGGGAAGAATTACCAGACTACAATCTACACTGCCAAAGAAGCTAATAAACAAGGAGGACCCTAAGATAGAAATACATGGTCCTATGGGGACATGAAAAGGGTCAAGATATGCTGAGCAAAGTGGGAGCATGGGAAGAGGGGGCAGGGAACTAGGAGAATGAGAAGGGGAGAAGAGGAGGGATGCAGAGGACATGAGGGAGCAGAAAGGTTGAGTCAGGGGATGAATAGATAATAACTCCCCTGATTATGAGATTGATAACCGACTTATGTGCCATCCTATAGCCTTCATCCAGCAGCTGGTGGAAGTAGAAGCAGACACCCACAACTAATCACCAAGCTGAACTGGAACCCAGATGCAGAGAAGAATGAGTGAAGAGCACAGGGGTCCAGACCAGGCTGGTGAAACCCACAGAAACAGCTGACCTGAACATCGGGGAACTCTTGCTCCCCAGACTGATAGCTGGGATACCAGCATTGGACTGATCCAAACCCCAGGAACATGGTTTCTGTGAGGAAACCTCAGAAATCTATGGGACCTTATCCCTAGCATAGGTGTGGACTTTGGGAGCCCATTCCATATAGAGGAATACTCCCTGGGCTAAGACACATGGGGGTGGGCCTAGGCCCTATACCAAAGGATACAATAGACTCTGATGACACCCTATGGAAGGGCTCCACATTTACAGGGAGCAGAAAGGATATGTGATAGGTAGGGTTTTAGTTGGGGTGGGGCGGTAGGGGAGGATGGGTGGGAGAAGGGAACTGGGATTATCATGTAAAGCAATCCTGTTTCTAATTCAAATAAAAAAATTGGGGAAAAAAAGAATGTAGATTTTCTCAGTTCTCAGGGTCTTTGACTCTCCTTGAAGATGACATTCACATTCATATTAATTATTTCTTAAAATGTTCAAGATTTTCAGTTTTTTCTTGGCTCTCCTCATAGGTATGAATTCACCTGATTTTTAAATTTCCATAATAATTGAGACCTTGGGAAATCAAGTTATAATTCAATAAAGAATGTGTACAAACAAAATCATGGTCAGATCAATAGAGAAGAAATATGCAAGATGAAGTATAAGTTATTCAAAGAGATAAAAAAAAAGAAACAGTTTATTCAGACACAAAAACACACCAAGCCACCATTGAAAGCCTTGTGTTAACTTGGAGTAGAGTCTGGCCATTTCATATATACTAGTTAGCATCTCAAACACAGAATCAAATCAAGAGAGCACTAGGTGAGGAGGAGGCAGGAGGATGGAAAGTTGAAGGTCAGGCTTACAACATATGAGACCTTGTTTTTTTATGTGTTTGTTTGTTTAAGAAACAAAGAAGGGGCAGGGA